TTTTTTATATAATTTTGCCAAATAATCTATCTCTTTTATTAATTTTTTTGTTTAAAAAGGTATTTATATTAACAAAAAGTAATAGCAAATATGTATTAAGAATATTGTAGTCAAGTGGCATTAATTAACCTTTTAGACTTTATTTTTTTTTTGTTGTAATTTTGGACTTTTACAGTAACTTATCTCATTAAAAAACAACATAAAAAATACTATACTATAAAAAAAGTTATTAAATAAGGAAAATTTTGTCATTTGTCAAAAGAATAAGAAATTAAGAATTGTATAAAAATTTGGCATATGACATTTTTTCTTCATTAGTTTTTCCCTTATTATATAGATAGCTATAGAATAGATTTTTAATGCAACATAATCAAATGGTTGACCTAAATAAAAAAAAGAAAAGAAAATGATTTATAGATAATCTTTTTGTACTATTTTTTGAAATAATTTTACATGTTATTTAAATAATTAACTTTTTTATTCATTTGAAATCCATAATATTGAATGTATTTATTTATTTAATAACATATGAAGGTTATATAAAAATGTAGTATAAAAAAGTAGACCTATATCATCGTCCAATAAAAAAATACAAAATAGAAGATGAAGAGCATCAAACGTAATAAAATCTAATACAATTAACTAGATAAAATTTAGACTTAAAAAAGAAAAACAAATATAGTTTTATGAAATGGAATTAATAAAACTGGAATAATATAATATAAAAGGGGTGAGGTTATTGTTGCACATTAAAAAGTTAATACTATATTATTTTAATGTAATTATCTATTATGTCCTTATTTTACATTTTATTCTCAAATTTTTTTTTTGTTTCTTAATAAATTAAAGGGTATAATAATCAATTAAAATAAAAAAATGTGACGTTAATAATTAAGAGTATGGTAATAACATCATCTCGTAAGAGAAAGGATAAAAGATTTTTTTATATTCGTCTTTGTATGTATTTAAGTTCAAGACTTTTCACTAACATTATTATTTTTTCATGTCTAACTCTATCCATATAAGTAACTCTAATATTGTTGAAAAAAAATAAAGCTTCGCACTTTCTTTAATTTTACAAATACCATATAATCATTATTCAAATTTTATGAAATAGTATTAATAAAACTTAAAAAATATAACATAAAAAGGATGAGTTATTGTCACATTTTAAATAATTAATACCACATAATATTAATATAATTGTTTATTTTATCCTTACATTATATTTTTTTCTCAAAATTCTATATTCTTTTATTTCTTAATAAATTAGAAGGTATAATAATTAATTAAAATAAAAATGTGTGACATTAATAATTGAGACGTGACAATAATATCATCCCATAAAAAAGAGAAATAAGGACTTTTCTATGCTCAATTTTGTATGCATCAAAGTTCAAAACTTTTCTACTGACATTGTTATTTTTTCATATTTAGTTTTCTTCACATGAGTAGTTTTAATATTGTTAAAAAAATATATAAAGCTTCACACTTTTTTTAATTTTAAAAATATTATTAATCACTATTTAAATTTAAATATTTTTATTAATTATTGTTAATTACTTAAAAAAAGGAAATAGAAACGTTGCAGTAAATGATATTACCCAAGTCTTTTTTTAATATTTTGTAGTACGACGATTGTTAATTAATATATCTATAGTTTACTTAAGAAATGGCATGCCAACTTGTCGAGTGGCGCATGCCCATTTTCTTTAGTGTTCCAGGCTTCCAGCCTAACAGGACCCAGAAAAGGGAAAAAACTCAAGTATTTATTTATTTTTTTATAAGGAGAATATTGTTAGAAGTTAATATCTGTTGAGTCAATTATATATTTAAATTTGGATGATTTACATCTTGCTTTTCATGAAAGAGCGTGACCCATCTACTAAGCGAAAGGAAGAAGCTCGGGAAAAACGTAAGTACTTAAACAAATGATATATTCATTTTCAAGGAAAATGGAGAGCAGTGGTAGAGAGGATAAG